TCCCTGGGATTACATTCCCGGCCCCGTTCGTGCAGTAAGTGACGGCAGCGAAGCAGCTCCGTGAACAGCAGCACATCCAGCACCTCTGCTCCGCAATCGCAGATTGAAGTTGGCGTGTTTGGTAATACGACGTGGCAAGGAAGTTTAAAGGCCAGTAGATGCCCTGGCGGGGGACTGTCCATGTCTCCATAGGAAGGAGGGATCGCCGCCAGCCCACGAGAAGCGCTTGCCAGCATTCCCGGTCCGTTCCAGTCATTTTGTTGCTTTCAGTTTTATCAGCTTTTCCTTGGAACACTGAAACTTCACCTCCTCGCCCCATCCACCAGCATATTCGAACCTTGGTGCCTGGGTTTTGCCTCCAGCACTGGCCACAGACCCTGCCCCTGCCTGCGCCGTGTCCCGGTGGCACGGAGGGGACAACGGGCGCGGGGGCTCCTTCGCCATCCTCACCACGAAGAGGCAGCAGAGCCCCGCGCTTCTCGCGGCAGCACCGTCTCATCCTCTTCCCACGGGCACAGCGGGAGCTGAAATGATCAAACAGGTTTAGGCTCATTAGGGACCGAATCTATATAATGGGCCTTCGGGTTTTCTAAAGAACAGCATTAGGAGTGATGGGCAGAGGAGCGGCCGCCGCATCTCCAAACTAATAAGCGCTATTTTAGACCCCGAATTGACTTTGTTTAACAAACCCTGCTCATCACACCACATGCAAGGCCAGGCCTGTGCAGAACATGCTGCTGATGATAGGAAGTGTGAAAAGGACGTCAGCTCGAAAGACGAACACGTTGAAAAGGTTTTCTTCTGAGAGTAAAGTGCTCCCTGCTACTCCAGTGACGAGACCCCAGCTGAAAGGGTCTCCAAAGCCACTGACCCATGAGAGCCCCCCGGCCATGGCAAGCAGACCTGGGTTGTCTTTACCATAGGACATCAGCCCCTGAAGTGGATACGGGCACTCCCAGCCTTGCAGCTGGAAGCCCTGAGATAGATCCCATCGGTGCCGGTGGTTTTGTCCCCTGCACCTCAGCAGCACGAAGGGACCAGGAGGAGGATGAGAGGAGAGCTCAAGGAACCCTCTGACTGCTCTGCACACCATACCCAGGCTCACCCCCTGCCTGCCACAATGCGCCAGGCTGTGAGGGGATGCTCTCAGGAAAGGGAAGGTGCCAGCAGCAAAGTGATACTGAAAATTAGACATTAACCCCAGTGAAAATTTGGTCTGTGCCCCCCGGGAAAGCGCTGGAGGTGGGAATGAGCCCCAGGGCCACCCTGCCAGCCCAGAGCTTGCTGCTGTGGGTCCCTGTTCTCACTCCTCCCAGTATAGTTCTGTTTTCCCTTGGCTCACTCGCTTCTCCCTCCCTCTCAGCAGGGCTGGGGGCTCTGTTCGGCCATTCCCAACCAACCTGCCTGCGGCCTGAGCCCCAAAGACAAGCCTAAACACAGGTGCCCTTTCCAGGCTCTGGATTTGTGAATTCTTAACCTGAGCTGAGGTGTGTGAAAGCAGTGCCCAGCCGATATGGGGGCTTCTGCTTGTCCCTGGTGCTGTTTGCCCGCGCAGCGTGGCTGTTTCAGCCCCCAGAGCCTGTTTCGTTTGTTGAATGACATGATCTGGGGATGTAAACTGCCAGCACCCGGAGCAGCTTGGGGTGTCTGCGAGCACCTCATGGCCCCGCTCCGCACTCCCTGCTCCTGGCAGCGGGATGTGGATCCTGGCTCTGCAGCCCCCCAGACAGCTCTGCTGCTGGCACTTCCCACTCCCATTGAAACACCAGCTCCAGGCGCCTGATTTCCATCCCCCCCGGTACTTTTATTTCAATCAAAGTGTGTGATTAGGGCTCCGCGGGCTCCATTGTCATCTCCACCTAAGTGCTTCTCTGATTGATATAAACAGCATTTTGATATTTATGCTGCGGAATGTACTGCTCCGCTCACAGCCATGGGTAACACACGAAATCTGCCATTTCGGGGAGCAAAAACCATGCACAAAAGGCTGCCCAGGGGAGGGGAGGAGCAGAGTCCTCCCTGATGGGACAGGGCTGTGCCTCTTCAGCCTAAGGAGCAACACCTTGGCCTCATCCCATCACCTGTGTAGCAGCAGCCAGAGAAGTTATAAAGGGCAGGGGGTAGGGAGGGTCTCAGCCCCTGCAGCATCTCATAGTACTTGAGGTTTGGGCTTTGGTGGTGTCTGCCGTGAGAAGGGCTTGTCTCAGTGCTTGAGACCTGGTCTGGAAGCAGCAGGCTTGTTCCTTGAGAGTGGGATCTAGACCTGGGAACTGGGTTTAAGCCCCAGGGCTCGTTCCAGGCTTTGCAGCAGCAATGGAGCCCTGCAGCATGCTCCAGCCCACCCCGTCACCCTTCCCATCCTCCTGCTGAGTCCACATCCCAGGAGAGAGGTAAGTGAAACAGCATAGGATGGAGTTGGGGTGCTGGGAAGGGTGCTCAGAGGGTGGGAGCAGAAGTGTCCTGTTCTCTATTTCATGTGCCTTTTACTGGTCTGGGCTTTGGATGCTCCCTTCCTTCGTGTTTGCAGGCGTATGTGTAAAGGAAGCCCCTGAAAAGCAAATATTTCTAGGCTCAGGTTCTTCATGGAGAAGGGAGCAACAGTCTTTTGTTGGCAGCATTGGTTATTTGAGAAAGGTGGAGACAGTTGAGCTTCTTAAGGATAAAATGCACTTGTTCCCTGAAATGCAGCAGCCTCTCAGGGGCTTTTTGTGGACTCCACAGCTTTCTCTCATGAGCACTGCTAGGATTCCAAGGGTGGCAGTTCCTGGGGTGGTTGTAATGCATTGAGTCCTGGTGGAGCTTGTTGGAAGTGTGGTGGTCGGTTGGTTGCTTTGGTTGTGGAGAACATTTTGAGTTTTTCCTGCGTTTTACCTGGTCAAAAGCGTTATACTTGAAGTTTCCCCATCGGACTTGAAGAATGCTTGTGCTACATGGTGCTGTACCTTTCCCTGTGCCGCTTCCTCCTGGGGGCAGAAGCAAGTGCTGATGCTGCCTGATCTTCTCTGTTGTGTGGACATGGATGTGATTTATGTTCTAAGTCACTGAGGAAGGAGCAGGCTGCTGGGGTCCTGCCCGATCTCACCCCATGGCTTTGCTCCTAGAGCAGCTCCAGTGGGAGCAATGGGGCCAGTGGTGCAGCGCCGGGAACAAAAGCTGCCTCTTCCTCTGTGTGGTGCAGAGGATCCTGAACAAAAGGTCTGCGTTCCCGGTGCTCTTCTCCTTTTGCTCCCCTTTCCTTTCTGCTGCTCTTCAATGGAGATTTACACCGCTCTTTTCCTGGCTTAAATCTCTCTGTGCTGCAGCAAGAAACTAGCAATTAACTGTTATAAGGCTGTTTTACAGTCCTGTGGAAACCCTTTCCATCCGCTTTGTTTCAGTTGGGTGTATCTTTTATTCCTAGTTTTCGGGAGTGTAAAACTTTACAGTGTTTGCTGCAAACCTTCATACTTTGCTTTGTGGTTTATTGCTCCCTCTGCAGATATATCTTACTCATAAATAAGGCTTTCATCTCTACAGTAAGTACTCGGGTAGGATCTGCAGTGCCTCTGAGCAGTTGCATTAATGGGACTTTGCCTAGAAATCACGTTGTGATTCATTTCCAACCTCAGTCTTCCCTTTGCCTGACAGCACAGAGCTCTGCAGAAGGACCAGGGTCGCAGCACGATGCTCAGCAGGGTTATTCATACCCCGGCTGGCAAATAAATCCCTTTGGCTTGGGGAGATGCGGAAGGTGGCTCCAGAAAGTTGGGTGCTGGCTGGGTGTCTTTGCTGGGGCTGCTGGGGGAGCCTTGGAGCAGAGACCTGAGAAGGTGCCTGCTGGGCTGGTGCAGGAGCTCTGCCACTGCTCGTCCAGCGAAGCAGCACATGGGCACGTCTGAGGGGCAAGGCACCCATGGTGCTGGGTGACATGTTCCCTCACTCCTCCGGTAGGAGCAGAACTGATGGTTCCTCTGGGTTCAGTGCTGGTGCCTCATGATTGCCCTGTAGCTTATTTCAATGGCAGCACTACGAGTGGCTCTATTTTAGGCTACTGACTGTTTTTCAGAAGCTTGTAGAGATGTGCTGTGCTCGACATCCCTGAATGTGGCTGATGTTGGCTCAGATGCCCAGGCATCAAGTGGGTAGCACACTTGCCAGTGCCTTCATCCTTCAGGAGCAAGCCAACATCCATGGTGTGGAAGGGGAGGCAAAGAGGGGTCTCCTGCATTGGTGGTCCTGCCTGTGTCTGCAGGAACAGGATGAGGTGCTTGGCTTCCAGGCATTTGCAGTGGGTCCAAGGGGAGGGCACGGACTGGTCCCTGATGCAGACCCAGAGCAGCCGCTATTTTTCTGGTGCTGTCATGACACAAAGGATTCGGAAAGGTGTGGGATATTAATTGCAGCTTTCAGCCCCCTGTGTGCTACATGTTAATTTCATCGCATTACGGTGATAGTGGTTTAAAACCCGCCCTCCTCCTGTCCCCTTTTAACAAAACACTTCTTGCTTGGCAAAAACACATTTAGCGCCAATTTGTTTGGTGTCCAGAATGGCAGCAATTAATGAAGCGTTGTGCTTTGGGAACAAATGGAGCGACACTGGC